TTCTAACGGCTGGTACTGCAAACTCCACATGGCATCTGAAAATCAAGCTGCTGCTTCTTCTGACCTTGTCCAGCAATTATGGTTCTGCATTTGGCTGTGCTCAGTAATCAGACTCCCAAAGGATGAGCCAGAGTATGAATTCTTCTTCTTTGGGTTTTGATTAAATGAACATTAAGGGCAAAACCATCCTTACTATTGTATGTTCATACCGTTGCTAAAATTAGCGATATAACTCTGACCCACGCAGGGAATGAGGTAGCAGTGTTTTTACATGGCCACTTTCGAAAAGATCACACACAAGCACTCCTTGGGTTCAAGAGGTTTATATTCCTTTGACTATAGATCTTAGGCCAAAATATGCTTTAACCCTGCATAGGAACAATAAAGCAACTCCTTGTAGATAGGCTGCTTCCAAAATGCGCTTGCTTGCGGCTGTACTGGAGCCTGCCACTAGAGGGTGCTTGTGCCACGTCAAAGCCGGTTCCCTGGCAACACAGCTAAAGGCGCTCATTCATTGACTGGGTGCAGAGATGATATTGACACAGATTAAAAGGTGGCTTGGTGATGAACTGAGTTTAAGGAGCATCATTCTATTCTGGAGGCTTAGGTCAAAATGATCAAATGTTGCCTAAAATTTGTAGCACTGCACTTAGCACTTTAAGCTCTGAGGCTGAAATTTTAAAATGTAACGGTCTCTGAGCCCAAACACCTCAATGGGGGGTTAACTGCAATAACCACCATGCATTGAATTCATTGAGCAAAGTCTTAGCCTCACACACCCAGGCCTGTCTCTGAAATCCTGTCATTTTGTTCCAGAGCAGCAGGTGGCTGTGGTACGTGCTACTGCCCTTGATTAGCCGGAATTATTTTTCTTGTCCCGTTGCACTTGCTAATGTCTGCATCTGCAGCCATCCCAGCCTGTGCTGTGATCTTGTCGGAGCTTGCAGGCTTGGGACGGTGACGTTAAATGTTCAGTACGGGGTGCTTTTCCCTCAGTGGGTCCTGATCCCCAACGTGCTGTGAGAAGCATTGTGCTGCTGGAGAAGTTTCTTTTGCATGAGATGCCAAACTGCGGTCCTGACCATATGTGGCCATTAAATATGTTCTAGCACCATTGGTAAGAGTTGGAGTGTTAATCTGGCCAAATGCCATAAGTTCTGCTTCCTTAAATTCCTCCTGCAGTTTGAATTGGGGGTAACGTGGGATCAGAGGTGAAGAATGCTCTGGTGGGCAATGTTGTGAGTTATTAAACAGCTACTATGCCCCACCCAAGAGGCAGCTGCATTTAAGTTGTGGTTAAAAGTGATCCTGGACAGTAAATTAGACTGGTGTTAGTGTTGTAAAATATTTGACCAAAAAAGATGACTTTGGACGGCATGAGCACAGGTATCACTAAGCAAGAAACCGAGGGGTAGCCGTGTTAGTCTGGATCTGTAAAAAGCGACCGAGTCCTGTGGCACCTTATAGACTAACAGACGTATTGGAGCATAAGCTTTCATGGGTCAATACCCACTTTGTCAGTCTATAAGGTGCCACAGGACTCTGTTACTTTTTACTAAGCAAGAAAGTGACCATTCGTGTCTCTGGCGCAGGTGCAGCTGTACCTGAGATACCGTCTTTGGGTATTGGTGCCATGTTTCCAGAAAGACGGAGAGAGACTGGGGAGCGTTAAGAGAAGAGCAGCAAAATCATCTGGGAAGGGTGGAGGGTTTGGCTGGGTGGGGGCGACAAGGAGGAGATTGAGTGAAAGCACCGGGCTAGGCCGGGGCATACATCTGCTGATCTTTAGAGGCTGTGCACAGCAAGGAGGGTGAGGAATTCTCTAGGGTGCTGCAGGGGTCAGGGCTAACTGAACAGCTTCCAGACTGATGGGATGTTGAACAGCTTCCCAAAGGAGAGGCTGCAATCCCCATCACTGGAGACCTACAAAACTTCCCACAGCAAGGGCTCTGCAGTGGCTGGGGAAGGAATATATGGGAGCCGAGAGGCTTCATCTGTCTTTACTTTGTGTGATATTGCTCCTCCTTGGAGAAGCGATGTGATCCTGGGCTCTGTCTACCTTTGCCTTTCTAACCCCTGGCTCCTCTTTCGCTGCATTAGTGCCTCCCCATCACCCTGTGGTATGCCGCTCCTCCGCTGGACCTCCGATCTGTACCAAGAGGCCTGGCCGTGGGAGAGCCCTCCTCAGTAGCCAGCATAAGAGGAGGAAGTCAATGACTCCGGATCCTAAAGAGAAACAGACTTGTGGTAAGAACTTGTGAAGAGCCTAAGTTCCTGGAGGGAAGGTCCATCAATGGCTATTACCCAAGATGGTCAGGGACACAATCCCATATCCAGGTGTCCCTAAACCTCCAACTGTCAGAAGCATCTGACACTGGCCACTGTCCGAGACAAGACACTAGGCTAGGTGGAACCCACTGTTTCCATCCTTATGTTCTTAGGCCTGTCTGTTGCTGTGGTGGGTTTGTGGGTTACCACTGGGGTGCTGGGAGAAGGTCATTCTTCCTCCTTCCAGGGACAGGTTTTATTTCATATAGTCATCTCGCATGGCTGGCAAAAAGGTCTGCATCCCCACTTTACCCAAAGGCTCAGTGGTGGGGCAGGTTGGAAACCGAGTTCTATTATTTTTACTTTGCAGATAATCTAAATTAATACTAAGTTCCTTGAGGGGCGGGCGGGGTGGGTGGGGTGGCAGAATTGAACACCGTGCTGAGGTCTTTAAACATTTGTGGAGCATTTTGATTTCTGTATTTTCATCCACCAGCATCCAAAAGATGCAGAAATGCATTAGAACAGCCTGACAAAATTGTGCTTTGCTTCAGATCCGGAGTTCTGGCTCAGCCTGTTACAAGGTTAGCCACCTATTGGGATCTAGCCCAACCTGGAACTGGTCCAAACCTTTGTATTGTGATTTTGTTGATGGGGCAGAGGGGAGTAGCTTGGGGGTGGTTGGGGGTGCGGTGTTTTGTTTTTTTTGTTTTGTTTTTTGTTTTTTTTTGGGGTGCTAGTGAGTTAAATTTGATTCCCCTCCTTGTGTGAAGGGTGGGGTTGGCTGATCTTGTACCTGAGCTTGATAGTTTGGCCCCCATCTTCCAAAGGCTGCATTAGAAGAAATTTAAGAAAAATATCAACAGTCTGATTTAAACAACCCAAGCCCATTTTTGTGGGCTCAGCTGGATCATCAGCCTAGTTTGGCGGTGGGGGGACAGGCGGGAATGAAACCTCAGACTATTGCCTCCTGCGCACGCCAGTTTAGGAGGAGAAAGAGAAAGTCCAAAGAATTAATTTAGTAAAACTAAATATTTCAATGGAATTCCTAGACCGGAAAGAATCCGTCGTGCAGATGCTCACAATTCAAACCCTTGAGGTCACAGGCACCTTAAGGGTATTGGACGTCATAGGAGGAGCAGTTACGCTGATCAGCAGCTTGAGGTTGTGGAGGTTTTTAAACCTTCCATCCTTGGAGGTTTTTAAAAACAGGTTAGACAAACACCTGACAGGGCTGGTCTCCTTTACTTGACTCTGCCCCATTGTGCAGGGAGACCCCAAATGCCCTTTGGAGGTCCCCTCCAGCCCTGTTTCTAGGAGTCTCTAGCTGTCAAAGGGGCTAGATTATTTATTTTAAACAAATAATACATTGGGGACTAACATGACACTCGCCAACTGTCACTCTTCATTCTGCTTGTTATATCCCTTTTACCCAGCCTACCCACAATGGGGTCCTGGTCTGGCTTGGAGCCTATAGAAACCACTGGAATACAAATAATAGAGATGGTGAATCTCTGCCGGTGCAAGAAATCAACGTTTGTATAATCCCGGCCCCTCAAAAGGGTTTTTTAGTCTTGGTCTCAATGAGGAATCTCTCCAAGGGGTTGAGAAGCAGTGGAGGTCTTCATTGAGATGCTCAACGTTGTGTCCTGGGAGTTGGGTACTTACAGCATGGTCAAGTTTGGAAGACTTGGCATTAGTAGACCCACTTCTTTACTCTGCTTCGTCGTGGGGATGACAGTCTCCTTGGAGATCAGTGAGTTGGGAGGGGCTCCTGGCCGTGAGGTCTGTCGCTTCAGCTCTTCACGAGGGGCTTGGAAAGGCTGCCTTCGATTGTGACAGCAGGACTCAATTCCAAACTTTCCCATTGAAAGTGAGGTGCAAAAACCAGTCTGCTGCTTTGATCCCCTCCGGATGACCCTGAACGGCCTTCTCCTCTATTGCCTGTGCAGAGAGCTAGCTTCTGTGATGAGTGAGATTGATTGATTGGTCATGACTTCCAGTTCCCTGGTGCTGTGGCATCTGGGCACGTGATTTTAAACGGCCCTCATGAGACAGCACCAATAGCACCCCCACCTGTACCATCCAAACCCACCTCCCAGCAGTGAACCCAGCCTGGGCTCTGAAGGCACTGGTGGGCAGGCTGCCAACAGGAGCTGGTTCCCCAGCCGGGGACCCTCTGCTGCCTCCACTCTTCAAGCATGATCACCATCTAGGGACTGTCAGCAGAATGACCTCTGCTGTTTGCAGCCATTAGCACTGCCTGGAGGAGAGGTGGTCCCTAGCCCAGGTGGGTCCCACACTGCCTGGGACTGGCACAGGAGAATGCGCTCCTGCCAGCGGGTGCCTCTAGATGGGAGCTTGTTGGGATAGTCCCACCTGGAGGGATTGATGGGTGAGGAGTGTGTGTCTGCAGGGAAAGACCTTGGCCTCTTAGCCACCCACAGATAAACCTGTTTGAGCCACCACTGCTACCTGCAAAGCCAAGAGCAGCCCAGAGTCCTGGCCTCTGGCAAGGGGTGACTGTGTTTCTGCAGCACATGGAGCAGGCAGAGACCCCATCGCTCCTCCCGCTGCCACCCCCCTTCACCAGCCACATGGCTCCATTAGCCAGACCGAGGCAGCGTATTCCCAGCCATGTGCCTGTCTCGCCCGAGCCTGGAGACTGCCTGACTCTGAGAGCTGTTAGAGCTGGCCCAGACCCCTTACTTCCTCCCAGCAGCCTTCTCCATATGTCCAACAGGAGTTGGGAGTGGAGGGCAGCAGCCACCCTCAGAGTTGGGCCCATGTTTTAATTCCCAAGAAAAAACTGGCCATGGTGCCTGCCGTGGAGGGAAAGCGCCTGGCGCTCGACTACAGCAAGGCCCGCTCAGGGCGCTCGTGATCACTTAGCGCCCCGAGCTGGCCGTCCCGCTGACCTGGTCTGTCTGGTGAGAGCGCAGTGTCCGTGTGCCAGTGACGGGCCACAGGTTTGGATGGCGCAGCTGATCCAAACAGGCAGAAGGGGGCTGGGGGTTGGAGGAGACAGCTGGCGTCTCTGCAGCGCGCTGGGTGGTGGCGCCGAGCTGGGAATCGGAGCGCTCTGGACTGGGTTTTCGGAAGAGCTCAGCACCCACTTAGGCGCCTATGGAGAAGGGCTCGTCCAGCAGCTCCTGCTCAGTGGGGATGCTGCTGGCAATGAGTGTAGGGCTGGGCACAAGGCACCGCCCTGTCAGCTGGAAACAGACCAGCTGTCATGGAGATTTGGGACTGTTCATTGGCTCTTGGGTTTGGTGCTGGTTGCCATGACATCTAGGCCCACCGCACACGGGAGAGGCAAGACTGAGTCCGGTAGCCAGGACCTATGGTCCCGCCTCCCCACCCACCACCAGAGCCACCTCTCCACAGCCGATGCTTGGTGACACACATGGTGAAGTGGGGAAGGAGCAGTGAGGTGGGGGCTAGTGGCCACTCTTGGGTTCCAGTTTGAGCTCCACTGCTGGCTCTGGCCTGGGTTACATCCCTCCCCTCTGTGCCATCTGGACAGGGCAGCTACCCCTTCCCCGGGGCGCGGAGCGCTGGGATCCTCAGGCAGAGGGGGGTTGCAGTGAACTCGCTAACTGTCCTGCCCTGCCTTCCGCCCCCAGACATCCGCCTGCGAGTCCGAGCCGAGTACTGCCAGCACGAGACAGCGCTCCAGGGCAACGTCTTCTCCAACAAGCAGGATCCCCTGGAGCGGCAATTCGAGCGCTTCAACCAGGCCAACACCATCTTAAAATCCCGGGACTTGGGCTCTATCATCTGTGACATAAAATTCTCAGAGCTCACCTACCTCGATGCCTTCTGGCGCGACTACATAAACGGCTCGTTGCTGGAGGCCCTCAAGGGCGTCTTCATCACGGACTCGCTCAAGCAAGCCGTGGGCCATGAGGCCATCAAGCTGCTGGTCAACGTGGATGAGGAGGATTATGAGGTTGGGCGCCAGAAACTCCTGCGGAACTTGATGCTGCACACGGCCCCTTGACCCTCCCCCGGGCTTGGCCTTGGCTGCTCTGTGGGAGCCAATCGTTTCGTTTTTTTTAAAAAGGAAAAATCATTTAAAAACCCACCGACCCCCCAGCAAACTCCTGCCAAGCGCTGTGTGACTGTAGGACCTGCCTGAGCGGCAGGAGTTAGCCAGCTCTCTGGTGGCCCCAGCCCGGCCAAGAGCCCATGATACCTGGGGCAACCCAGAGAGCAACTCCCCCTCTGCTCCGGGAGCCTGGCCGGAGGACGCCGAACCGCCCAGCGGTAGGAAGGGAGAGCTGCCGGCAGGAGCGCTGGGTGCTCACGCGTTCTGTCCTGTCCCCCCTCTGCCCCGGGTTCTCTTGTGCTGGTTTTTCTTTTATACAGTCTTCTTTTTAAAAAAAAAAGGCAAAACTGTCTTGTGGGGCCGGGGCCCCGTGCGTGTGGGGGACGCAGAGCGCAGATGGGCCGGCGACCTGAGGCTCTTGATTATTCACTTTAATAAAAATGAGCGAGCGCAGCGCGAGCTGTGTGCGTGTGGAATGAACAGCCTGTGGGGGTTGGGGCCTGTGGCATTAGCCTTCCATTGATGGGAGCCCGTTTCCACCAGTCCACTTAGCACTCAGCGGGCGATCTTGCCGGGTGTGCCCTTAGCCGGTTTGGGGGTCTTTCCAGCGTGGGATGCCGGGAGGGAGGCAGAGCTAAGGTGACTGCTGGCGTGGCCCTGTGGCATCATCTGCTCGGGCTTGTTTCAGGAGTAACAGCTGCACCAACGGAGCTCGTGCTGAGCTAACGGGGGGGTCAGTGTTCCCTTCTCCCAGCTCCCAGGCCTTTGTTATCCCCTTCCCAACAATCCCTGCCCGGCCTCTGACCCCAGAGAGGAAACCTGAGCAAGGGGCGTCCTGCCCTGCTGCTGTCTGATGCATAGAGCTGGTCCAGCCACAGCTGCTCTCCCCCCAGAGCTGAGAGATGCTTGCAGGCCCAACAGGAGAGTTCTGCACAGGGAGATGTGCATCCCCACTCCCTTTGCGTGCAGGGTGGGGGTGCAGGTGGGCAGGGCTGGGCTTTTGGGATGTTCTGGGGCAGTGTCACAGCAGCAGGGTCTGGGGTGGGGAGCGCCCAACACTGTCCCATGTCACAGACAATGCTCCAATGTCTCCCTCTTGCTACTACCAGGTCAGGCTCAGTGGCGGTGCGGTGGGGTTGGCTGCGGGACGCAGGGGTGGGCTGGGCTGTGCAGCGGGGAGGGATGCAGTGGGGCAGGTTGCAGAGTAACGCTTTGGCACGGGGCCTGTTCCCAACTGGGAAGAAGGGGGCTCCTGTTTGACCCTACCCCATAACGGAAGGTTTGTGAGATGAATTTGTTCCCTGTGCCCAGATCTACAGGCTCCAGCTGGGAACCTAGAGGTGGGGAAAAATCCAATCAGGGTGGTATTGCCGGTTTGCTCCCGGTCAGCTCCTTGGCGCTGGGTCGTCTGTCTGTTGCTGGCACTGGACATCCCAGGAGGAAGGAGCTGTGAGTAGGAGGTGCTGTCCTGTCTAGTTACAGCCTGGGGCCAGCAAGCTGTTTGTTTGCAAAGCGCCTGGCACCTCGGGGCTGCTGTAATACAAACAGTCTCAGAACTGGCCCTCTGCCTGCCCCTCCCTTATGATCCCCACAGCTGAGAGCCCACGCCCAGCATGGGGATTGAGCTGGATAAAGCAAGAACACGCTAGAGGCTGTGGTCTGAGCGCCTTCCCCCCCCTTGCACGCAGGACACCGGAGGCCACTGAGCAGGCTGGGGCCAGTGGCCGGCTTAGTTGCATATTTTAAATTTTGGGATGACTTTTGTTACCTTTTGGTAACAGGCCTCTGGCCTTGTTCCTTCCTCTCGAGCCCAGAACTTGGTGCCAGGACAGACAGAGCCAGTTACATGCCCACTTCGTAACATGATGTCCAGGCTCCATTGGGCCTGGCGCCTGGAGGCTGAGTGGGTTTGTCATTGAAATGGGCACGCTGAGTACCAATCTTCCAGGGGCAACGAGTGCATTTTAATTGGAAAATTCTCTTCCTCCCCAGTTCTTTTCCTGGTAACTCAAGTAGACACTCAAGGATTTAGGAGCCTCAAATCTGAAGCAGCTCCACAGAATTCCACACTGAGTTTAGGGAGAACAAATGGGGCTGAGGGTTAATTTTTCTGGATTTGATTTTCTTCTTCCCACCCTCCCAAATCTCTGCTGAGCTGCAGGATGTTTTCCCTATCGGCCCAGATGCTCAAAGGTGTGTAGGTGCCCAACTCCCAAGGGGAGATACGCACCTCAGTACTCTTGAGGATCTGGGCCTTGAAAGACTGTTGGAAGCCAGATCAGTGCACACGGGGTGGAGGAATGTTTGTTATGAATTGTTGCTGCCCTACCCAGGCATGGGCAGAGGGACAAGAAAGGGCGTGGTGCTTACCAAGTCCCCATCCAGTGAAGATGGCATGTGATAGCCCTGCGGGCTGCAACCCTCATGCCTCAATGGGATTGTTTGGTGTGTGTGTGTTGATGCATTTTCTATCCACAGGTTGTCTCAGTTGAGAGCGTGTAGACCCCCTCCCCTCCCCACACACACCTCCCTCTTTAAGGACAATTCTGGCACAAACTGTGTAATTTCTGTGACTCTTCTGTATTTTTTTAAACTTCCAATATAACAGTCATAATCCCCGTGTAGCTTTCAGTTTTCTTGAAATAAACATCTACTGCATCTCGTCGGCTTCCTTACTGCTCGGCTGCTGGGTCACGTACGTTCCCTTCCAGCTGTTTGGGGTGTTTTGTTTTGAAGTGTCTCATCTGGCCTCTGGTTTTCCATTTCCTTCCGGGGTGACCTTGAGCCCTGCAGAAGTACATCTGCCTGGGCAGGGTAACGTTCATCTTCTTTTTAAGATCCCAACTGGCCTAGCTCAGCTAAGCCCCAGAGCGACGTTAAGCTGGTGTGCTTGGCTGCCCTCTTCGGTTTGGTAAAGGTGCAATCCTCCTTATTGTCATAGCTGCACTTCAATTAAAGACGCTGTGCTGGGGAAAAGGGGCCCTGTGGGTTGCATAGCTAGAGAATGCCCCTCTTCACTGCTGAATTCAGCGCCAGAACCATCTAGCATTGTCTACCTGAGTCTGCAGCCAGCCTGAACCACTAGGTCCACCAGGCATGAACTGCCCCCACTGGATTTAAATCAGCCTGTAGATGACGTAAGTGGTGCCTTGATTAATTGCACTGGCTCAGCCAATAGACCTAGACCCTCTTTCTCCCCCTCCCCCCATACAACTCACAATTCTCTATTATGACTTAACTGAACCCTCATGCTCTTCCTGGGAGGAAATCCAGCCTTGGCCCTGGTTTCTAGATGCAAACTCAAGGGCCACTGCAAAAGTACTGTCCCAAAGGTCTCACTCTGGGTGCACCTGCCTGAACAGACAGGCTCCCTGGAGGTAACATAAAAGAGGCCAGGAAAGTCATTACCAGCTGGGAATATAAACCAGGATTCCTATTCTAACCACTTGAGAGACAGTCCCTTTACTGGGGCAGGGAACATGTTTCCTGCTAAACTGTTGGTCTTCGGGCCTTGCTCTCCATAGGGCCAGTGGGATTGGAGGAGAAAGTGACACACACGAGGGACAGTAGCTTAGATGCAAGGCAGAGCTACCACAAAGCACTGGGATGGGGAGGGGAGATAATGGCAGGCAGGGGGCCCTGAGCCTGGGGGAGAGGTATAGCGGGAAGATTATCCAGTTCTCCTGCTTCATGCCAGGGTTGTGGCCAGCATTTAGCCCTCGAGGCTGCCCATTACTTCAATTACTAAGTGTCATTTGTCCTTTCACCAGCTGCCTGGGTCTCATGCTAACATGGAGCTTTTCACCTAAAGATCTTGGAGCATGTGAGTGTCATAGGACAATGGGGAAACTGAGGAAGGGACCTGTCCAAGGTCTCAGAGCAGCATCGTAGGGGCTATAACCAGGGTGCAGTTCCCTGCTCCAGGACCCCATGAACTCTAACGGTGAAGTAGCCCAGGCCAATCCATCCCTTGCTGAGGCCCAAGGGGGGGAAATCAGGCCCACCCTATATGCTCAGAAGTAGCAGTGACTTTGCACTCTTAGAACTTCCTAACTAGTTATAAATGACAGGGGAACTGCTCAGGGTGGAGAGCATCCGCCCCTCTCCCCCTGCTGCGAAATGGAGACCCCACCCCAGGCAGGGGGGTGGGAAGAGCCCCATGGCCAGTTTTAGGGCAGGGAAGTAGTGCTAAGGGCAGCAGGCAGGACCCCTCAGGAGCTGGTACACTCGAGTGTTTGCTGAGAGGGGAACTGATCTGTGACAACAGCTCAGCCTCAGGAACCTCTCCGCTGAGCCGGGGTTACCAGCAGCTGCCTCACTTCTGCTTCCTCCCTGTACCTGCTCAGCCGCGGGAGCCCACTGCGAATGCTCCTTCCCCGGAGTGGCTGCCTGGAGAAGCCGGAGGCTCAGCGGGAGCTGCTCCCTTCACCCCTGGGAAATGCTCTGTTTTCGCTAGGGCCTGGAGCAGGAATTGTGCTGCAGTTCCATGCTGTCCCCCAGAGGGCGCCTCTGCCCAGCACACACTGAGAGAGCCCTCGGGCCAGCTCGGCCAGTCATCCTATTGCTAAATGAATCAGTGACTGATCACTGGGTCTGTGCGGGGTGGGGAGGTGATATCGGGAGGGGTCTCTGCTCCCTGATCACGGAGCGTTGCAGGGCTTGGCTGGCAGTGGTGGATTTTCCAGGGTGGGGGGAGCCCCTCAGGGAGGCGGGGGTTTCTTCAGCACAGTGACCCTGCCGTACAGATCGGCCCGCCGGTGGGTGCAGACCGGCATCTCCCGGCGGATGCGGCGCAGGTAGCCCAGGTCGATCTCCGCGTAGCACAGGCCCGGCCCCTCCTGGCACTGGGCGATCACGCAGCCCCAGGGGTCCACCACCATGGAGTGGCCGTAGGAGGTGCGGCGCTCGTGGTTCTTCCCGGTCTGAGCTGCTGCCACCACGTAGCACTGGGTCTCGATGGCACGGGCTCGCAGCAGCACCTGAGCGGGGCGGACAAAGGGGCAGGGCTGCTCACCACGGACGCTCCCCGCCAAGCTCCAACCCAGCCAACCCCCCTGGCCAGCCCCTGGGCTAGTTCTGGGCTATTGGCAGGAGGCTCTGAGCCCAGGCTTCCCCCATATCATCCCACCAGCGGGTCTCAGCTCAGTCTCAGCTGGACGTGTTGCCTGACACTTCTAATGTCAGGAGCTGTTCTAATGGCTATGTGCGCACATGTCTGCACGCCCACTAGAGTGCGCCGTGGTCTTATATACACAGGCTCTGCATTGCCCATCACGGCTGGACTCACCTCCCAGTGGGCGGAGCCTGTGGTCACCGTGAAGGCTGATGGGTAGGTGAGAATCTCTGCCCCCTCCTGGGTTAGCGCCAGAGAGATTTCTGGGAAACGCAGGTCATAGCAGATGGCAAGGCCGACCTGGAGGAGGAAGAGGGGTTCTCTGAGCCGGCGAATGACACAGAGATCCCCATGGGTGCTGCTAGTGATGGGCCTCAACCAAGCAAGGGCCGCAGCTGCCCTAGGCTCCAGAACTCGCCCCCAGGGCAGCTCCGGCCCTGTCTGCACAACAGCTGCCAACAAAGTGGGGCGGATCCAAGGGCCTGATTGTGCCTGCTTCAATGGAAACCCAGAGGTCAATCAGCATGTTCAGCCTGGGCCACCTCATTGCAAGGAAGGCCTGGCACAGGGAGGGCAGGGAACCATGGGAGGAGAGAGTGACTAGGGCTATTTCACTGGAGAGAAGGCCAACTGGGCTCCCATTTACCCTGTGCTCAAACACCCACGGGTGCTAGATGCATTGTACAGGCCACCCATGGAAAGCTGCAAGAATGACCCACGGAACTCACTGCTGCAGGATTTCACTGCAGCAGACATTGGCAGGGATCAGTCAGGGGATGGGAGCCAGGATGGCACCTACACTGATACTAGCAGGAATCAGAATGACGTGGGCCATCGGTCCTCATGCTCCAGGGGTTACTGGGGGCCAGGCATAAAGCCTCACTGCACACCAGGGTGCGTCATGGTCACTGTTGGGGGAGGGGTTGGGCATGCTGCCCCCGTGGTCTGTCATGCGTTAGTGAAATCAGGGAACTGGTCCTGATACCACCACTGCATCTGGAAGCGGTTACCTGTACCAAATATGGTGACGCCAGCCA